CACACACACACACACACACAGAGTCATCCTTCCTGTTTCTAATCACCGGGCACATTTTCTGAAGATGCCACCAGGAGATATTGCACATTCCTTCAGAGGTAAACAGTCTAAAATTCAGAGTTTCAGATTTAAAGCATTTTTAACTTACTGTCCCTGTGTAAAAGGCTACTTCATAAAAACTCAGAGATCAAGCTGGGTGCTGCTGGCAACTTAGCTCACCCTTGCAATCCATCTCAGGAGGCTGAGATCTAAGGATTTTGGTTCAAAGACAGCCCAGGTAGAAAAGCCCCTGAGAGTCTTATCTTCAATTATCCGGAGAAAATGAAGTGGAGATGTGGCTCAGATGGTACAGCATTAGCCTTGAGTGAATAAGCTAAGAGCCAGTGCCTAGGTTCTGAGCTCAAGCCTCAGGACTAGCACGCGCGCGCGCATGCATACATATGCACACAGAGAAAAAACACACCTTACAGGCCATAACCTCTGCAGCTTATCTTTTGTCAGTTGGTGTTGCCTACTGAGCTGACACGGGTGAGGAGTGGAAGACAGCATACTTGAACCACACACAAATCCCCTGTCTGGGCATTCAAGAGAGAACACAAGAGCCAATAGGGAGCTCAACACTAGCTGTGGCCTCAGTGGGTTCCAGGGACACTGGTGGTAGACTGGAATCCTCTCCTAAATCTCACTGGAGATTTTAGACTGGCCTTAGCAGTGATCCATCCCTCTGTCATAGTTTCTGAATCCTCCACATTTGAGGATGTTTGAAAATACACCACTCAGATTATGGTGACTTAAGTGTTACAGTTTGAATCTATTAGTTCATGTATTAAAGGAGTGGTCACCATCCTGTGACATCATTGAGAGGTGATGGTAATGTTAGGTAGTGGGGCCTGGTGCTCACCATAAGGTGAGCAGCTTTGTTTCTACCATGTGTCATGATATTCTGCATCACCACAGATCCAAGAACAGGACTAAAGGGATCCCGGAAATTATGAGCCAAAAACCATTATTCTAGTACCTCAGATTTTTTGTTTTGACATCCACCAAAAGTTCACTATAACATAGGGGCCCTTGTTAACTATGTCATTGGAGGAAAGTTGCCAATGGTCACTACCCATACTTTTCCACAGATGACTGGATGAGGTCCCAATAAACACTAAGGGTCTCCCTCTACTCCTCAGGCCTGTTACAGGATATGTCAGGAACTCAGCCTGAGGCTGAGTACTACCATAGACTGAACTAGATTGGTTTATACAATTAGTATGAGTTAGCAATTATGAAACTATGCAATATGCTTTAGCTATTAGAAATGAGCAAATAACAAAGTGTACTATGGCTGATGGAGATAATTTTCTCACTAGAAGGAATCTATGAGAAAAGCAGCTAGAATGAATCTGGGTGGGCTAGAGTTAAATAGAAGACATTATTATACACTTTTTTCAACAGATAGATATGGGAATATTACCTATATAGTGCAGAGAACCTAATTAGGGGGCGAGGAGTTCTTTCACAAGGTCAAGTGCTAGATACGACAATTGGTAAGTCATTTTGTCACTACTGCAAAGAAATGACTGCAAGACACCAGAATCTCCAAGGGGCATTTCATGGTTTTCCTGGTGCATGATGCTTCTTCTAAGCAAAGGAAGTTCTAGGTAAAACCATATGCTGAGACCAAAACACCAAGCAAGTCTTAACCCCTATTTCCAGGGAAAATATGTTGTACATATGGTAGGAAAGTGCTAGACAGCAGAGCTACATCCTTAGCCCTATCAGAGTGAATTTTAACTTTATTCTAGATGTGGCAATATGCCCTATGAATAGCAGAATGGCTAAATTATTGAAATAACTGAATATAGTAGACTGAATTATTTGCTCCAATCATTATTAGTGCCTGTGTATGTGGAACTTCATAGTTCTTCCTATTGAAATAAGCCCTTTATCCCATGACTTTGTATTCACTTGACCATGTGTTTGTTCCCTTTGGGTAACAGGATGTCAGTGGAGCTGATGCAGGCTGAAGCTTGCAATGTTCTTGTACCATTTGTTTTACCTTTTCTAGCCTCTTTCATTACTAGGAAAACCTTGCCCTGGGCAATTTACAGCCCTTCAGTTAAGCCAGACTCCAAAATAAGCATGGGTGAGAATAAAGAATTGTTTGAAATGCTTCAACATAAAACCAAAGGAAGTAAATATTTATAATCCACAAGTACTCTTTTCTTATATTCTAATTTTGCCATTTTATTAAATGTTTTTACCCTAAGATTTGCTTTTTTGTTTCATTTTCTTTGGCTTTCCAGTTTTATTTTGTTATTGCCATGGAACACCTATACTTAATTTCTTAGCCACAAAATACCACTGCACCAAAGAAGGTTTCTAATAGGAAAGTTATGAATATAGCCAAGCCAAACCTTGGGGTAGTGAAGAAAAAGTAAATAATTATCTCAATGCCAGTTAAAAAATCCAAATAAAAAATAATTCTCTTTAAGGACTGTAAAAAGTGGAAGCAATTCTTTACACAATATATACATTATCTTTAATAGGAAATAATTTCTCATTAAAACCAAGAACAAGACACCCATTAACTCTACTATACACATCACTGTTTAGAAGTTCTAATCAATAAAATAAGACTAAAAATATACAACTGGCAGGAGGTGCTAAATACAAATTAAATACAACTAAAAAAGTATCATGTTATTGACCTTAAGACAATACAGCAAAAAAATTCACAAACATTTTATTACTATAATTTCTATTTTGTTAATAACTTCTGGCATTAACAAAATAAATTTCATCTTAAACAACAAGCAGCAAAATAGACAAGGAAATTCAGAAAGAGTAACAAAATAGTAATCTGGGCTATTATTCACTGATATCCAATATATCTACAAACAAAACAAAGTGACATTGCTTAAAAAATATAGAGAACTATCAATTAAAAAAAATAACAGCTCTTGCAAGAGACGGGTCACAATATTAATTTTCTTTTGGTGTAGGCACAGAAATGACAGATGCAAAGCCCTTGATGATCATTCCTGCCCAGCATTCTCGTGAGTATATTAACACTTGGCTGGACGGAAGTAGGAGAGGTAAACTGCCTTTAAAGAGAAGGGATAAGAAAGGACTAAAAAGCAGAGATTTCTAGTTACTCTAAGAACTTTGGTGAAGCTCAATGAATCAAAGGTGAGGTAGTAAGCCATGCAGGCCTAAGGGAGGTGCATTCGAAGACAGACTGGCATGTGTAGCCTTTGGATCAGGAAAAAAGAAATGTAATTTACTTGAGGAATAAGAAAGGCCAGTATGTGAAAACAGTCCATCGATGGAGACCATGACAGGGACGTGTTAACAGATGGGAGAGAGAGGAAGTGGGCAGGGGCTAAAGCATTGGAACATGTAGTGTATGTAAGTAGCAATGAATATGTAAGTAGAAGTGAGAATTTTTACTCCTTAGGAGCATGCTTTAGTGAAAAAGCACTCAATGCTAAGCAACCATTAAAACATTTCTTTTCTTTGCAATTTAGAAACAGTATATAAAAATCTGCCATCTCTTTATATACAGTAGTAGTTTCCATCCAGACAAACAGGAGCCCCACACATACTTTTCTTCACCTGAAGAAAGGGTTCAGGGTAGAATTTTAGCAGTATGTCTTGGCCCAAACAAACCAAGTGAAAAAGCCTAGTAAAATGTTCAAGGTGAAAATTAATCAAGCATGGGGCCAATAAATACAACAGTCCCTACTCCCTCAATTCTAACAAGAATGAGAAGGCCAGATGATTCAGCCCAGTTTTCTGTGAAAGCTTAGAAACTTTTAACTAGATTAAAGAGTGAAGAAAGGATTAGGGGGAGTAAATTGTTGCTTGGGAGTAGTCTATTGCTGTTATTGTTGTTGTTTGAGACAGGGTCTCACTAAATAGCTAGGAAGGCCTAGAACCCATGATCTTCCTCCCGCCTCAGCCTCTGGAGTGCTGAGATGTACACCGCCACTCCTAGTGAAATAAGGTATTTTTTACAGAGAATGAAGGAAAACAGAGATTTTCTCCAGACCTATATTTAAAACCAGTATGCTACGATTCCTTGACTGATGAACACAGGTTCACAGGATTGGGAACAGAGGAACAACGAATGGCACTAGACGAGGCTCAGGGGAGACAACTCTGAGAACTCACAGAAACTGCCAAGGTGGCAGATATTCAGGAAGTAATACACAGAGGGTATTCCACAGTTCTGTGACAAAAACTGGGATGATGGGGGGGAGGGGGAGAGGAGAAAAGTCCAGTGTGTGACATACAAATAGTACATACATTAGTTATAGGATAATAACTCTAAACCTTGACACTTCTCAAGACTTAAGAGTCAGCAATACAGGGGGCATTTCTTGCACACTGGAGTGCTTCAAGTAAGAACCAAACAGTATTAGTATGACCAGCAGGGTAATTATAAATAAAAGAGGAATAAAAACTATTCCTCATCATACAATCACACCCATAAGATACAAAATTTCAAGTTTTATGTGTTCAGTTACCATAAGATACACTCTTACTGAAAAATGTAAGTAAAAGCTTTATAATGGGTTTAATTTTAATCAGCCCTGGACTATTTTTCTCCACTGTACCTTTGATTCTTGGCAAGTACCCATTACAGCTTAACAGCAGAACTAAATTTAGCCCAGGCCATGAACTGACAGAAAACATTTATTTGGCCCTTGTCCATTAAACTATCGGTCCAGTACCTTTCAAACTTCTTTACCCAGGAAAACTTAACATTATGGCTGAGAGAGAAAACTGCAGTTCATGCTCTACTAATGGCTAGTCAAAGGGAAAGGATGGAAATAAATCCAATCACTCCACAGGAAGTCCACTACCACGGGTTCCCATTCTATTAATTACTGCTGCTTCTTCATGGGAAGCTAAGGAGACAGCAGTAGCCTGATATCTGTAGAGCATCTTTACCAAAACAGACATTTTACAAGAATGGTTTTGCTTCCTTGGATATTCTGTGAGAGTGTTTCTTCTGTCTCATCTGTAAGACTCGAGTGAATCTGTACCTATCCTTCAGTTGATAGAAGGAGCCATTACTTTCTCTTGACCACATGTATTTGCCTTATATCAATTAATATCACAGCTTCTCCCTCAATCCAACATGGACTCTTAGAACTCAGTGATTTTTTTTTGGCCAGCAAAGAAGAGGCACTTCTGGGAGTTTATAAACCAATAGTCCAGGCCATAACAAAGCCATTCCAGTTTGACTAGTGCTAATAATGAAATCGGTAATACACAGGAAAAATAGAAAATAAAATCAAATATTTTTAAAAGCCCTAAAAAAAAAACCTCTCTATGTAGACAAGAGTGTGTTCCAGGTTAGGAGGAGCATGAAATATCAAAACAATAAATAAGTTTCCACTTTGGTTTTTCCTCTCACTCAAACATACATGGGCACCTTTCATGTGGTAAACCAGACAGTTTAACATAAAATCAAGTAACATCTTAAATAATACCTCAAAATTAAATCAGACAATGGTGCAGAGGCTGGGAATGTGGCTCAGTAGTAGAGCACTTGCCAAGCATGTACAAGGCTCTAGATTCATACCCAGCACTGGAAAATAAAAGAATTTAAAATTTAAAAGAAAAAAAAAAACCTCAAGTAAATCGTGAGTTTCACATTTTTGGTACTTTGAATAATATATGATTTGTATATTTTGCTTCTAAGGGAGTTATTTAGATGGGAATACTTGCTTTTGGTTAACCAACACTGGAGTTAATGTTTTGTTTTTTGATTTTTTACTTTTAGGACTGGGAGAAGATGGTTCAGAATCAGTTGTGCTCACAGTGATAGATGCTACTTTTTCTGATCCTGGCTGAACAGGTCCCAGGGACACTTGAATAACAACTTTTGTCTCAGGAGGCAATCCTTCCAGTTGTTTCGGCTTCTTAAACATTTGGTGATACCGAGTCTTATGCTCCATTTTCTCCTTGAAAGTTAAAAACTGCAGCCGACATTTAGAACACCGGTGAACATTCCTTTCCCAATGTCCCCTGAAATGACACACATATGGTGTTCCAGCTTTGAAAATTTTGAGACAAAAAGGACAAAGCAAATTCTTAGTGTTTGCATGGCACTTTCTAAAATGTGTTTCCACATCAGCAAAGACCGATGACCTGTAATTGCAAACCTGGCACACATAGGGCAGTTCCCCAGGCTTATGATTATCTTTCATATGTTCTAAGAGAAGTTGATCTGTTTCAAATGACAACTCACAGATTCTGCAGACAGTAGATAGCTCCTGGGTAGTGTGCACATTGTCAATGTGACGCTCTAGTTGGAAGGGAGTGGGGAACTGCCGATGGCAGTGCTGGCAAGTGGTGGGGTTTTCCCAGCTGTCACTCCATTGCTTCTCAAATTCCAAATGGCGTTTCACATGATTCATAAACTTCACATTTTTTAGAACTTTCAAGCAGCTGAGGCATTTAAAAGTTGTGTAAGTCTTCTGTTTTGGCTGCCCATCTCCTTTATGCTGTCCATAATAGAAGTCACTAAGTAACACAACCAGATTTCCTTTATTGGGATCAGAGGTATTGTCTGGACTTTCAAGGTTTGCAAAGTCTGGTTTGGCCAATACATTATTGCTACCAGGATTTAAATGCAGAGGCTTGAAATGGACATTGTCTTTTGGAAAAGATGCCCCAGTTTGAAGATGGTTTAATGAGGCATGAATACCATTTGAGGGTGGAATTTGGTGAGGATTTACTATATGAAAAGCACCTGAAGGAGACAAAGCTGAAGAATATCTTCCTGTGTGTCCATCACTGAACTCAAGTGTTTGGGGATTCAGGCTACTAACCTCAGAAGAACATTGCTTTGCTACACAAGGACTTTCGTTCACACCTTCTACTGAAAGCGTTGCTCTACCAGGCTGATGCCATGAACTTGTGAATGTAACCAAAGGAGAATGTAACTCTGAGGAACTAACAGGCACAACTTGTGGTAAATTGTTTCTATAATCAGATTTAGACAAAGGCTCTAAAATAATAGGACTATCAGTTGATCTTGCTACAGATAAAGATGCTTGTAGTAAATTATTTTTATACTCAGGTCTGGACAAAGTCTCAATAATAATAGGGCTATCTGTTAATCTTGATTTGGATGGAGATGCCTGTGGTGAATTATTAGGATTACCCAAAGTCTCAATAATAATAACAGGGCTATCTGATGATCTTGATTTGGATGGAGACACCGGTGGTGAATTACCAGGATTACACCAAGTCTCAATAATAATAGGGCTATCTGTTGATCTTGATTTGGATGGAGGGGCCGGTGGTAAATTACCAGGATTACACAAAGTTTCAATAACTATAGGGCTATCTGTTGATCTTGGTTTGGATAGAGAAGCTTGTGGTGAATTATTTTTATCAGCATTAGGCAAAGGCTCAATAATAATGGGACTATCTGTTGATCTTGATTCAGATCGAGATGCTGTGTCTGATCTAGGGACCATAAGACTTGTAGGCTGTGACCGGTAAGTATTCTTTCTAAGGCGACCATACTTTTTTCTCCTTGAGCAAGAACCTGGAGTTACTCTGTTCAAAATGTTTGAGATGATTGGTTTAGAATTTGAAGTTACTCCAACAAAGATAAGCTCCGAATCTTCATTTACATGTTCCACCCCAACAAAGATCAGTTCAGCATCTTCATCATCTATCTGTTGAGTTTCTTTTAAGCTCTTTTGTGGTTCTGGATCATGTTCTTCCTCACTTAACAAGCAGGGTTGATCCATTTCCTAATAGTTTAATTCTTGAAGGGTGTATCCACAAGTCACAGTACTTCCGTTATAAAAACTCACCTACATTCAAACATAGTACACATGAGTAAGAATACAAGATTGCATTACCTTATTTAATTATCCCCCAAACTCTGATAAAATTATAAATATTCCTATTTTACAGGAATGGACACTGAGCTCAAGGAGGATTAAGTGGTAGCTCAAAACATACGAAAACAAGACAAGGTCTCTGTGGTTTCAGAATCATTTTCACAACTTTGTCTTAAGCTGATTTTACGATCTTCATTTTGAAAAAGTTAAGTCTACTAGCAACTCATCACCAGGGAAAATCACATGCAAAGGACAAATACTTTCAAAAACTGTACAGTATTTACAAAAATGGGTTGCAGAATTGGAGATTAAGCTGGAATTCTCAATTCATCACACACCAGCTGTATCTTCTTTAGCAAGTTTTTTACTTTTAAGTGTAGTTTGGCTGTGTGTTTGTGTAAGTGTGTGTGTATGGTTGTGTGTGTGTGTGTTGGGGGTGGTGGTGGTCATAGGGCTCGAATTCAGGGCCTCTGTACACTTGCTTAGCTTTTTTCCTCAAGGCTGGTGGCTTTATCACTTGAGCTACAAGTCCTCTTCTGGCTTTTCGCTGGTTAATTAGAGATAAACGTCTGATGGGCTTTCCTACCCAGGCTGGTTTCAAACTTGGATCCTCAGATCTCAGCCTTCTGGGTAGCTAGTATTACAGTGTGGCTTGTATTTTGGCATCCTGAAGGCAAAAACTTTATCAAATTTATACAGTGCAATGTCAAGTGTTTAGCATCAGGTAGATAAATCAATTTTCTTGATAAACTAAACTCAAAGCTTCATTATAATCCATTCATTGATGTCTCCTAAGTTTCTCCCTCTAGTCCTTGCTTCCTTACTGAAGATAAGGACTCCTTCAATTCATCTCACTGTTGTTTCCATAAGACCATCGGAGTGATTCTGTTAAACCAAGTCAGGTTATATCATTACTTTGGTAAAAACCCTCTGAAGTTGATTTCTGACACTCAAGATAAAAATCAAGTCATTCCAACTGCCTACTGTTATTTCTCACTCCTCTCCTCTACCCACCGCACACTAATGACACTAATCTCCATAGTTTTTGTTTTGTTTTCTGAAACAGGGTCTCATTAGGTAGCCTAGGCTGGTTTTAAACTCTCAATCTTCTTTCCTCAAACCTCCCAAGTGCTGGGATTAAAGGCATGAACCACCTATCCTTGCTACTTCTTGAACACAGGATCTTTATATTTATTGTGACTTCTAAAATGAATTCTCTTTACCCAGACACTTGTGTGGCTGGCTTTTTACACCCTTCTTCAATGAGTTCCTCAAATATGTTAACTAACCTCAAGCTAATATTCCCAATTTCAATCTCAGTTCCTTTGGATTTCTCACCTTTAAATTTTATCATCATTTACTATGTTATAAACTTAGATAATAACTTACATGTTTTTTGTGATTTTTTTTTTGCCAGTCCTGACCAGAGCACTGTCCTTAAGCTTCTTTTGCTCAAGGCTAGCAAAGGCTAACACTCTACCACTTGAGCCACAGTGCCACTTCTGTTTTTTTTCTGTTTATGTGGTACTGAGGAATCAAACCCAGGGCTTTGTGTATGCTAGGTAAGCACTCTACCACTAAGCTACATTCTCAGCCCTCATTTTTTGTGGTTTTTGTTTTTAAATGTTGGTCCTGGGGCTTGAACTCAGGACCTGGGTACTATCTCTCAGCTTTTTTGCTCAAGGTTATCATGCTACAAATTGAACCACAGCCCCGCTCCAGCTTTTTGATGGTTAACTGGAGATAAAGTGTCTCATGTACTTTCTAGCCCTGGATGCTTTGAACCATGATCTTCAGATCTCAGCCTTCTGACTAACTAGTATGAACCATTATATATTAAAATAGAACAATGAAACCTGTTAGAATTTTTTTAAGAAGGGAAAAATGTGATAAGGGAGAGTATTGTAGAGGGAGAGTTAATCAGGATACATTGTATACATGTGTGGAAATGTCAATGACCTTCCCCTTATATAACTAATATAGCTAATAAAAATATTATATCCAGTTTATGCACAGATATAGATAAATAATAATTGCCACCATGCATGGTGGCATATACCTGTAACCCCAACACTGGAGACTGAGGCAGGAGGATCACAAGTTCCAATCTGGGCTACAGAGTGAGCTCTAGGCCAGCCAGAACTACATGATAAAAAAAACCCTGTCTCAAAACAGTAACAAAAACCACCATCAAAATCTCAATGTCATTCTTTCCAGAAATAGAAGAACCAGTCCTGGCCAGCCACCAGTGGCTCAGACCTATAAATCCTAGCTATCTGAGGATTGTGGTTCAAAGCCAGCACAGGCAGAAAAGTCCACGAGACTCTGACCTCCAATTAACCACAAAAAGCCAGAAGTGGAGCTATGGCTTAAGTTCTAGAATGCTATCCTTGAGTATAAAAGCTCAGGGGCAGCACCCAGGCCCAGAGTTCAAGCCCCAGAACTGGCAAAAAAAAAAAAAAATCCTAATATTCATATGGAAGCATAAAAGGCCCCAAGTAGCCACCCTGAGCAATAAAAGCAATGCTGGAGATAACACAATACCAGACTTTAACATGTACTACAGAACCATAATAACAAAAACAGCATGATACTGGCACAAAAATAGACCAGAAGACTAATGGAACAGATTTGAAGACCCAGAAATGACTCTATACAACTACAGCCATTTGATTTTTGACAAAGGAGCCCAAAATATATGTTACAGAAAAGATAGCCTTTTTAACAAATGATGCTGGGAATACTGGATTTCCACATGCAAAATACTGAAACAGGACCCCTATCTCTCACCCTGTGCTAATACCAACTCAAAGTGTATTAAGGATCTTAATGTAAGTGCTGAAAGTTTGAAACTACTACAGAAAAGAACTGGGAAAACACTAGAACTTACTGGCATAGACAGTAACTTCCTGAACAGAACTCCAGTAGCTCAGCAAATGGGAGTGAAGATTCACAAACAGGTCTGCTTCAAGCTAAAAAGATGGAGACAACATAAGATGTAGACACTAAGGTGAAAAGATAACATACAGAAAGGGAAAAAAATCTTTGTATATCTTACAAGGGACTAATAAACAGAATATACAGGAGCTTAAACTAAACTCCTAAAGGATCAATAACACAATAAGTAAGCAAATGAATTGAGCAGACATATCAAACAATAAACATAAAGATTCCTCAGATAACTAAATATAGACCCAGCCTACCATATCCAGCAATACCACTCTTGGGCATTTATCTGAAGGGATATATAATAGAGGCATCTACATACCATATTCACTGTAGCACTATTCATAATAGCCAAGCTATGGAAACAGCCTTACAACTGTTGAAGGGATTAAGAACTCTGTGCGCTGGGGAGGAGAGGAGTGGGAGAGGGTAATGGCTTAAATTCAGGGCCTGAGCACTGTCCCTCAGCTTCTCTGCTTAAGGGAGGCTGGTATTCTACCACCTGAACCACATACCTACTTCCAGCTTTTTGCTGGTAAGCTGGAGATGAGTCTTACGAACTTTTCTACCCAGGCTGACTTCAAACTTTTCAGATCTCAGCCTCTTGAGTAGTTTGTATTGCAGGAATGAGCTACTGTCACCTAGATAAATCTCTCTCTCTCTCTTCCTTCCTTGATACTCAGATCTCAGACTCATAGATAGCTAGGATTTCAGGTGTGAACCATCAACACTTGATAATAATCAGTTTCTGACTAAATAATCAGAGTGAACTCTGAAAAGCAGTACGGAGGTTCTCAAAAGACTAAACATCAAGCTCCCCTACAATCCAGCAATCCTACTCCAGAGCATTTACCCAAATGACCACAAACAAGGCCATAATAAAGCTACCAGCACAACTATGTTCAATGCAGCATTATTTACCATAACTAAGATATGGAACCAACCCGGATGCCCCTCAGTAGATGAAAGGATCAAGAAGAGGTGATATATATACACAATGGAATTCTATGCTGCCATCAGAAAGAATGACATCGCCCCATTTGTAAGGAAATGGAAAGACTTGGAAAAAAAATCATATTAAGAGAAGTAAGCCAGACCCAAAAAAACACAGGCTCCATGGTTTCCCTCATTTGTAATAATTAGTATATGTGCTGGATAGTCTTAGCAGATGAGCAGAACAGCTCAACACCTATGTACATATGACCATCTAAGACAATGCTAAGCGAAATAAACTCCAAGATATGGAAACAAGAGGTTTTGCTTTGTGCTGCTGTTTTTAATGTACTGTGTGAAGTTCTTCCTTTTTTCTTTCTTTTTCCCCCACTTTGGTTTATCCCCTGTTGTTACTGTATTTGATTTTGGTTCCCTGTATCTTGTATATAGATTTATCTGATTTGGGGAAGGGAAGGAAAGCAACAAAATGGTGAGACAAAGAACAAAGGGAGTACCAAACGCAACAGTGACACTCACAAGACAGTATGATGGAAATGAACTTTACAGCTTGCGGGAAGGAGCTGGTGGAGAGGAAAAATGGGAGAAAAACGAGGGGGGGGGGTAACAATGGTCAGCGAGAAATGGATTCATTACCTTATATATGTGTAGCTGTAACCCCTCTGTACATTATTTTGACAATAAAATTAAAATTTAAATAATCAGGGTGAGGCTGGTAAAGGTAGAACACATATTTAGCATTGAAAGTTCCTAGGTTGACCCCCCCCCCAGCTCTGCAAAAATAATTTTAATTTTTTTGTCAGTTGTGGGTCTTGAAGTCTGGGACTGGGCACTGTACCTCAGCTCTTCAGCTCAAGACTAATGCTTTACCACTTGAGCCACAGCACCACTTCTGGTTTTCTGGTGGTTTATTGGAGATAAGAGTCTGAAGGAGTTTCTTGCCTGGGCTGGCTTTGAACCGCGATTCTTATATCTCAGCCTCCTGAGTAGGCTAGGATTACAGGCGTGAGCCACCGATGCCCAGCCGTTTATTTTTTAAAATAAATATTTGTAACAGAAAAGTATAAATTAAGATGATCACTAGACTGGGAGTCTATAAAGGGAGCAATTATTTTTTTTGGGGTCCGGTTGTGGGGCCTGAACTCTGGGCCTGGGCACTGTCCCTCAGCTCTTCAGCTCAAGGCTAGCACTCTAACACTTGAGCCACAGCGCCACTTCCAGCTTTTTTCTTATGTGGTGCTGAGGAATCGAACCCAGGGCCTCATGCATGCAAGACAAGTGCTCTACCACTGAGCCACCTTTCCAACCCCAAAGGAAGCAACTATTAAACCAACATTGTTCCTTGTCAAAAGGACATGAACATTTCTAGATACTGAGCTGAGAAGAAAATAAAGAATTTATACATTTCACCACCATTTGCGTTCTCGTCATTTCTTTGATAGCTAAGCTATCCTAGCTAAACTCTAGCCACATTCACCCCAACCCAGCTGGAGGGGCACCCTTGCTGCTCCTTCAGTCTCTGCCTGACACTCTTGCCCCAAAGCTAACAAAGACATTCTATGTTCTTCAAGGCTATGTCTAAATGAGCCTTCTCTGCGAGATTCTCCTTTACTATTCTATCTAAAATTATAATAAAACTACATCTCCAACTTGCACTTCCTGCAAATCTATTCTATTATCCTCTCTGATTCCATAATGTCACCTTTTATTTCACCAGAGAATTTACTTCTTTATTACGTTTACTATCATTCTTCCTCTACTGGACTGTTAATTCCTTCTCTTGGAGTAATTCCTTTAAGGTATTTTTGTTTTCTTCTGTTTTTGTGTTTCCTATTTTGTTCACTGATCTCTCTCAACTTTCTAGAGCAGTGCTTGGAAAACAGTAATCACTCAAACACTCATTAAAGGAAAGATTATCTAAAAGAAATAAATTCAGTAGACCAGACATGGTAGCACACACCTGTAATTTCAGCAGTCAGGAGGCAAAGGCAGGAAGATCAAGAGTTCAAGAGACTCTGTCCAAAAAAATAAAGGGCCAGGTGTGGTATATTCATGTAATCCCAGCTACTTGGGAGGTGGAAATAGGAGGAGTGAGCTTCATGGACCATCTCAGATAAAAGTTAGTGTTGTGATCCTTCTAAAATATAAGCCAAGTGTGGTGGTTTATGACTCAAATTCCAGCTATTCAGTAAGTAGGTTAGGAGGATTGTGCTTCAAGGCTGCCTAGGGAGAAATTCAAGATCCAATCTATAAAACAAACTAAAAGCAAAAGGACTAATTAGGGTATGGCTCAGTGGTAGAGCCACACAGAATATAAAACCCTGAGCTTAATTCCCAGCATCACAAAACACAACAGCAACCAAAAAACAGGAAAAAAAAAAAAAAAGACATCCATCAAAGAACATTAGAATGAGGGAAGGGGTAGGAAATGTTCAAACCTGAGAAACAGTATTTTCTTCAAGGTTGGGCAGCACTTTGGTGATACTGAAACTCAGAAATGGTGGGATTCTGAAGAACAGTCCTGCTCAGACATCATTAGGAAACCAAGAGTCCAGGGAAGCTTTCTCTCAGAACACTGTGCTTAGAATCTTTCATGATCTTCCAGGCAGCAGAAAACCAGTCTTTTCACTTTTCCTTCCCTTCTTCCCAACAGCAGAAATCTGCAAAGGAGATATGGCAGTTCAACATAAAATGATCTGGTAGTTTCAAAGCCAAGTTCTTTCACTAAGTATGTGTGTTCAGAATGGATTTCAAAGTATTAGGTAAATGAGTGCCTTAAAGTATGGTTGCTGTGGAAGATTCTCTCTCTCTCTGACACACACACACATACACACATACAAACATACAAAATAAGGTCAGGCTCATGCTGGTGGCTAATGCCTATCTATATTCCACCCTACTCAGGAGGCTGACATCTAAAGATCACATTTCAAAGCCAGTCCAGGGCAGGAAAAGTCTTTGAGACCCTGTGAAACCAATTAACCATCAAAAAGCTAGAAGTGGAGCTGTGGCTCAAGTGTAAAGTGCCAGCCTCGAACAAAAAAGCAAAGAAAACCTCAGTTCAAGTCCCAGTACTGGCACAAAAAAATACCCCCCAAAACCAGATAAGGTCACTTAGTTAAACACTCAGAATCATGGTGAGGTCAGTGGGAACAATGGAACAAGAAGCTACTCCTACCATACAAGCTGCTCCTAGCCGGGTACCTGTGGTGGTTCAAAGGCAGCCCAGGCAGAAAAGTCTGTGAGATTTTCCAATAAACTACGCAGAAAAAGCTGGAAGTAGAGTGTGGCTCAAGTGGCAGAGGTTAGCCTTGAGCACAAATGAGTTTAAACACCAGGACCGGCCAAAAATAAATAAATAAAGGAAGCTGCTACTTCAAAGAGAAGAGGAGGAAAAACTGTCAAAATTAAAATGTTCAGATCCTGGAAACTAAACCAAGGCTTGTAAAAACCAGAAAATTTTTTTGTGGTTCCTCAAAAACTTAAACATAAGCCAGGCGCTGGTGGCTTACTCTAGTAATCCTAGCTACTCAGGAGGCTGAGATCTGAGGATCACAGCTCAAAGTAGTAGACCACTAGCCTTGAGCAAAAGCGCTCAGGGACAGTGCCCAGGTCTGAGTTCAAGCCCCATGACCACCAACAACAAGAAAAATTAGACAATACACACACACACACACACACACACACTCCCCACACACAAATACTAAAGACTACTATATAACTTACTTATAGAGGCAAAAGTCCTCAATAAAATGCTAGCACACTAAATTCAATAATAAGCACCATACATCTCAATTAAGTTGGGATTTACCTAAAGAATGCAATGCTTGTTTATGAACAACTGAACAATCCATTCAAAATGCAAATTAAACCACTCAAAACCTCTCAGTCGAGCCAGATGCTGGCAGTTTACACCTGTAATCCTAGTTACTCAGGAGGTTGAGCTATGAGGATCACAGTTCAAAGCCAACCCAAGGAGGAAAGTCCGGAGACTCTTATCTCCAATTAATCTCCAGAAAAGCAGAAGTGGCGCTGTGGCTCAAAGTGCTAGAGTGCTATAGCCTTGAGTGAAAAAGCTCAGGGACAGTGCCCAGGCCCTGAGTTCAAGCCCCATGATTGACAAAACAAACAAAAACTCCCAATCATCTCTCATCACACCAAAGAGTAACAGTTGGAGAACTGACAAGTGGCACCCAACTATAATCCTAGCTACTCAGGAGGCTGAGAGCCGAGGATCAAGGCTCAAAGCTAGCCTGGTAGGAAAGTCTGGAAGTGGAGCTATGGCTCAAGTGGTAGAGTGTCAGCCTTCAGTGAAAAAAGCTAAAGGACAGTGCTCAGATCCTGAGTTCAAGCCCCATCACTAGTACAAAACAAAAAGACAGAGAACTTAAAATGGCCCACAGGATCTTGATTTTCATATTAGAAGACCACAGTCTAACATCTCTCCTATCTTGGCCTCTTGTCCAATCCTTCCCCTTAAGCATGCTCCACACATGCCTTTATGTTTAGTGTTACCTCTGCTAGAGTATTCTTCCCCCACATATTCATAACCACATTATAAACAGCTAGCAACCTGCCTCTACTCCTACTTTATGTTTCTCTCTTATATTTATATAAACCCATCATCATCATTTGCTGACTAGTTTATTTTGTGTGTACAAGTACTTGGGCTTGAACTTAGGGCCTGGGTGCTGTCCTTTAGCTTTTTTGCTCAAGGTTGGTGCTTATCACTTAAGCAAACTCTTTTTTTGGGGTGTTTTGTTTTCAGCAGTACTGGGGTTTTGAACTCAGGGCCTTGCTCTATCAGTTGAGCCATGTCCCAGGCCTTTTCAGTTTTAGTTTTTTGATAGGGTCTTAACAGCCAAAAAATATGTGTAGGAGGCTGGGAATGTGAGTTAGTGGTAGAGTACTTGCCTAGCATGCACAAAGCCCTAGGATCGATTCCTTAAGTACTACATAAACAGAAAAAGCTGGAAGTGGCACTGTGGCTCAAGTGATAAAGAGTGCTAGCTTTGAGAAAAGAAGCTCAGGGACAGTGCCAAGGCCCTGAGTTCAAGCACCAGGACTGGCAAACACAAACATACAAACACATACAAAGTGTAGTTCTTTTTCCTCTCGAAACTGCATTTCTAATCCAGTTCCTCCTCAATTTTATTCTAATATATTTTATAGTTGAACGTCTTATACCTCTATGAGCAACAAAGCCAAGTGAAAGCATGAGACTCGCTGGGCACCACCATGGCTCATGTGTATAATCCTCGCTACTCAGGAGATCTGAGGATCTCGGTTCAAAGACAGCCTGGTTCAAAGCCAGCCCAGGCAGGAAAATCCGTGAGACTCTTATCTCCAATAAACCACCAGAAAACCACAAGTGCGCTGTAGCTCAAGTGGTAGAATGCTAGCCTTGAGCTAAAGAGCTGAGGGACAGTGCCCAGGCCCAGATTTCAAGCCCCATGACCAACCGGGGGTGGGGGTGGGGGGCATGAGACTGAGTTTAAGCCCCTATAATGACAAAAAAAAAAAATCAGAAGAGAAACAGGCTCTGATACAGAGATGGAAATACTACAGAGTGGGGGTTGGGCTAAGGAGGGTTAAGAATAAATATGGTTGAAGGTAGTTTGTCACAATGAAACACCCTTTGTACAACTAATGTATGTGAATAAAAAAAACTTTAAAAGCAAATACTTATAAGCAATGACTAAATAAAAAAGGTAAAAAAGTAGAAATGGCAATGGGTTTGGATGAAACAGATGGTGATTTAATTTAAAAATGTTATGAATAGCTGGGAACCACTGGCTTACAACTGTAATCCTATCTACTCAGGAGACTGAGATGAGAGGATCAAAGTTCAAAGTCATCCTAGGGTAAAAAGTCAAAAGACTATGTCTCCAATTAACCAGCAAAAAGCAGAACTGGGAATGTAGGTAAGTAGTAGAGAACCAGAAAAAAGTCAAGACTGTGAGGCCCTGAGTTCAAGCCACAATACTAACATATACACACACAAAAAAAGTTAAAAGTAATAGAGGGTGTAAATTAGACCATAGTACATCATATACAGGTGTATATAAGCATTATAATGAAATCCCTTTTTACAATTGATTTACACTATTACAAAATTATTCTCAAAAATTTGAAGAGAAGATGCTACAGAAATATAAACAAAAGATGATGTTTTAGCAGGGTTGGATAAATGGATATACCAAGTAAGTCACATTTCTAGATCAAAATCTTGAACCATCAGATTTGTTAATGGACTGGATTTAGATAACGAATAAGAAGTGATAAGTGGCGCTGTGGCTCAAGTGGTAGAGCACTAGCCTTGAGCTGAAGAGCTGAGGGACAGCGCCCAGGCCCAGACTTCAGGCCCATGACGGAACCCAAAACAAAAAAGAAAGAAATTTAAAAGAAAAGGGTGGGGGATGGGCAAGGTGTCACATCTATAATCCTAGCTACTCAGGAAGCTGAGATCTGAGAATTACAGTTCCAAAGTAGCCCAGATAGGAAATCCTGTGTGATAGTCTTATCTCCAATTAATCTCCAAAAAGCCAGAAATGGAACTGTGGCTCAAGTAAGGGAGCACTAGCCTGAGCAAAATGGCTCAAAGATAGTGCCAGGACCTAAGTTTAAGCCTCAGGACTACACCAAAAAAATAAAAACAAAAAGAGAGATGAATAGCATCAAGGAGTAGATTTATCAGTAGAGATTACAGCATTCTCTGTGGAAATCATCATGAAAGAAAGTTCAAAATAAAGAGACTTGTTAGACTATATCTACATAACTAAGTGATGAAGTAGGGATTATTTCATTAGCAAGGATTCAAATATTTCATTAGCAAGGATTCAAATACTTTACCCTAGTCACTAGAGTGGTAGAAAAATAAATGTGGTAGTCAGTCTTCAAGATAGCCTCAAATGAGCCAGGAGCCGGTGGGGTGGCTCACGCCTGTAATCCTAGCTACTCAGGATACTGAGATCTGAGGCCAGACCAGGCAGGAAAGTCCATGCGACTCTTATCTCCAATAAACCACTAGAAAAACTAGAAGTGGTGCTATGGCTCAAGGGGTAGAGTGCTCTCCTTGAGCTGAAGAGCACAGGGACAACTCCCAAGTCCAGAGTTCAAGCCCTACAACAGACAAAAAAAAAAAAAGATGGCCTCGAATGAACTCCATCTCCTGGCATTCACACTATGGCACAGCCTTTGCCCACAATATCCCAACGACGGGACTAAACCTATCCAGTAGAAATGGAAATTGTTTCTAAAAGTCTAGTTCAACTTGAATTCAAGCTCACTTGAACAACTTACTCTGAATGACATGAATAGCCCCCAAGTTGAGTCCTACAGAATAAAAACTGAGGCTCTCTGCCAAGAACCAAGTGAGTGTGTTTAGAAGCAGAATATCCAACCCCAGTCAGAGACTGCCAATCCAGCCAAAAGCTTGATGGGCAACCTCACAAGAAAACCTGTGACAACACCAGCCAGGTAAGCCACTTTTGGGTTATAGTCACAACCTGTTGGGCACAGAATTTACTTACAATCTTGCCTACTGGCATGGAATAAATTCAGATGACTTTGTCCACATGCAATTAGTCCATGAAATACTATTTTTAAGAAAAAGGCCACAGAAATGAAGAAACAAACCCGATTTTAACTAGTTTACATTTTCCCTACTGAACCTATTTCATGCATTAACTAAAATATTTGGTCATGTCTATTAATGTAATTCAGCCTCATACTATGACAAAAAGAAGTTAGCTCACCAAGTGCCGGTAACTCATGTCTGTAATTCTATTCTTGGGCAAAAAAGTCTATGAGACTCCAATTAACTAAGATCCAGAAGTGAAGCTGTAGCTCAAGTGATAGAATGCCATCCTCGAGTGAAAAAGCTAAGGATAGCACTTAGGCCCTGAGTTCAAGTCCCAGTAGTAGCTTGCATAACATGCACACACACAAAGTCAGCTTTGCATTTCTATGGTGTTTATCTTTCTTTCCTCAAAATCTCAGGTGAGAGAATATTGTACCACCACTTTCAACCTTTTTTTTTCACTTTAGTGAAGCAATTTAAAGATAATTTAAGCAATTAATCGAATAGTTAGCCAGCATTTAGCATATACGTTCAGATTCCCTCAGGAACTTCTCAGCAATGTTTTAACTTGAAAGAACAAGAAACAAAGGCAGTCGGAGAAATCACATAACCTTGGAGTTTACTATGGAGACCTCTTTTACCTCAGGGATACAAAAAAACTCTGAAGAACTTGAGATATTCCAGGAGGTGAAGGTCACATCCTTGAGGTAGCTCGAGAGAAGGATCAATATTCTTTACAAATTCACAAGATGTTTTGGTTATTCTGAGGTACTAGGGCTTGAACCCAGGCTTTCCCATGCTAGGCAAACACTAACCACTTAAGCTATATTCTCAACACTTTTCAGAATATAACCCCACTAATTTTTCCCAGGCTGGCCTCCAACTATGAATCACACCTCCACACTCCCCTTCCCCCACCATATCTGGGATTACTAGGCCCACCTAGAAGAGTGTGTAGCCCTTTGGCTACCTAACACTATTATTGGGATGTATACTAAGCATATTACAATCAGAAAAGATCATTAATTTCCTTTCCCTCCAAGTCTGTCTCTTCAATATACTCCACCCCAATCAAGAAAGGACCCCAACTAAGTACCGTCCAAATCAAACATAGCTGTCTAAGGGGACTTCATCAGGGTTTAAAGGGCTGCATTGGAATTTGAGGTCATCAGTAATAGTAAATTTTTTTTTAAAAAAACCTTTTAAAAAGGCATTATGATATAGGAAAGAGGCTCTAAGTGAATTTTAAATTCTCGACTTTTGCTGTTCTGTGGTGAAGCAGGGTCTTGCGATGTAGCCCAAGCTGCCCTCAAACTCGAGATCCTCCTGCTTCAGCTTCCCCAGTGCTGAGGTACCAGGTGTGGTGAACCAAGCAGGTTCCCCCACGACAGAGTGGACAGGAGGGGCGGGGCCTAGGCCGTGCTACCGGGCCCGGCAGCCCCTTCTCCGGGCCTCGGGGTGGGCCTGCGCGGGGGTGGGCAGGGAAGAGATACCCCGCCCGGAAGGGGGAGATGACTGAGAGCTTGCCCGGCCGGAGTGAGGCGGTGCGGGACCTGCCAGGAGGAACCGTCCCCAACCTTCCAAGCAGAAAGCGCACTTCTAGGACACGAGGTGCCCGAACCCGCGGGGCTGCGGCCCTAGAATCCAATCCCGCCCGGCTCCCCTCACTGAACGCTCAGGCTGCGTCACGGCCCCGTCCTTACCGCCGACAAGTCGGTGCCGCCAGAGACTAGAGAGCCCTGGAGGTTCTTCACCCGGAGAGCCTGTGGCCAAAGACCCCTCCTCAGTCTCCAGGCACTGCCGGCAATGGCACCGACGCCTTAGAAAGCGCGCCCAGGCAGGCCTGTGATTGGCTGCCAGGTGCGGAGGTCAGGCTCACGTATACAGGCGCTGCGATCTGATTGGTCGAGAAGCCCGTTGGGCGCACGCCCGCGCGCTCCGAGCTCCTTATATGAACCACTGCGCCGCGGGTCAGACTGAGAAAGGGGCGGGGCATTGGCTAACATCCCCGGGTTCAAGAAAGGATTCTGACCCTTCAATATTCTAAAGCCAGGCCAGTTGTGTAGTGTGCATCTGCGGTTGCAGCCCTGGGGAGGCTGATGTAGGAGGACGCAGACTTCTGGGCTGTGTTGGAGACGCTGTCTTTAATTGTAAAGCCATCCAGGGGGAGGGAACAGGCCAAAATGGGCTCTCAGTCCCTTGAGAGATACTTAGCCACCTGGAGTCTAGCTTTCATAATCCATCCGATGTGGTCCATTCTCCATATTAGCATTAGCTGACTGCCTGGTGCTCAAATAACTTGACCAACTAACTGAGCTTTTAACCACATCCTTTTGAGACGGAAGCCAATTCAGCCCAGCTGCCACCTGCTTTTGTATAGCTTACATAAACTGTAATGTTTTTCTTTTTAAATCAAACGAAGAATATCAAATGAAATTCAAATTTCATTATTCATAGTTTTGCAACACAACATGCCCATTTCTTTAGTTGTTACCTATGCTTGTTTACCTCCTACAACAGCGAAATTTATTTCCAGAGACCAAATACCGTATTTACTAGCTGGATCTGTAAAGAAAATATATTTTTTTAAACATTTATTTTTAGAGTGTTGGGGATTTATCCCGGAACCATATTAGATGTTTAGAACAAGTGTTCTACCTCTACCACTGAGTTCCATCCCCCTCCCCTTTTTGGAGTGTGTGTGTGTGCGTGTGTGTGTGTGTGTGTGTGTGTGTTGAACTCAGGACCTAGGAACTGTCCCTGAGCTTTTCACTCAAAACTGGTGCTTTACCACTGATTCACACCTCCCCTTCTGGCTTTTTATTGGTTAATTGAAGAGTCTCACGAATTTCCTGCCCAGGCTGGCTTCAAACCCTGATCCTTAATCTCAAGTTCCTGAGTAAAACTATTCATGAGCCACCAGTGCCTGCCCAGCTTTTGAATTTTTTTAATTGACCAATTCTGCTAGCAAATATCTTATGTTAGTAATATTTTTATAAAGCAAACTTTCAGTTTTATTCATTTATATGATTTTCTTCTCCATTTATTTCTTCCATCCTTCATTATTGCCTTCCATAGGTTTAATCTGTTGTTCCTCTGTATATTTTTAGATAAATGCCTAATTCTGTTTAAGTTTAATTTTGTAAACTTACCAATTTAGCTATGTTCCACAACTCTTACTTAGTCATACGTTTGTTTTTTCCCTTTAAATATATCCTAATTTTGCTGCTATTTTTGAAAACTATTACATTTTTTT